AGGAGGGAGGAGGAGGAGAACGATGGAAGGCTCCCGTACAAAGAACAGCCACAAAGCCGGGAGGACATCTGCAGCTCTGCATATCTGTGTTTGAGCAAGAACAGAAATGAAAAAAGAGATGGGAACGTTGCTGGTGAGAGCCGTGTACACTGGACCTTCAAGCTACAATCGGCCTGACGTGAGAACAGTGTGGGTTACGACTGGAGTGTTCATTTTAACTTATGACCAAAGTCTTGAGTTATAACCCTAACAAACACCCACTGCTTGTGCCCCCAGATGGCCTCAGGTGCAGACTTCACCCTGAAAGAGCTCTGGAAGGAACAGGACAGCATCCCCTCCTGTGGGGTTCACTGGGAAGTCCTGGGCTGGGGTCCGTCGAAGGACACTGAGCTCGGTCTGTGTGCAGGAGAGAGATCTGAAGGCCGTGCGGAGGAGCTGGGCCTCCACAGACCACCCTGAGTTACAACCAGCCCTGGGGATGGATGAGTTCATAAGTCAAGGGTGGCTGTAATTTAATGGAAGAACGATTTGGTTTAAATGGGCTTTTCCCCTCTCAGGGGCAAACGTCATCGAGTTAAAAGGAGAAACTGATCATCGCTGAGCCGCAGGCTCTAGACAAGGAGGCACCACCCGGCAGCTGAGGGTTCACCTGTGAACCCGAACACTGCTGAGCAGTCGCTGGCCTCCGTGCTCGCGGATGTGAAACGTTCATATAGAAATGACCAATGCCTGAAGCGTAGTAGGTTTTCAGGAAGTTTTATGTGACCTGGGCTGAAGGCATCGGGCTTACAGTTAACCACAAACTTTGGTGTCCGTGGTATAATGTGACTTCCAGAAAGTCCAAATGCAGACCTGAGTTGAGAGCAGTGTGCTGGCAGGAGGATGCAGGGATTCCACGTGTGTCCTTTCAACTCAAACGCGATCAAGATCCTGATCAGCCTCTGTGGTGTGTGTGTGTGTGTGTGTGTGTGTTGCTGGGGACTGGACCCAGGGACTCACACGTGCTATGCGTGCTCTCTACCACTGAGCGACACCCCCAGCCCTAGCCATAAATTTTAATAGAAACATGAGCAAAGGTGGTTAAAGAAAAATCATGTCCTAAGAAACAGGAGAAGAAAAGAGGGCTTCCCTGAGAGCTGCCTTCAGACGTATTTCCGGGCTGTCTCACGGGGCTCCCATCAACTTTGTTTAACAACATCAATGATACAAAAACAAATGTCAGAATAGCGAAAGCAACTTCCAAGTCACAGTCCACTTATTTCAAACAGTACCTAATACTTCATAGTTCCCGTAAAGGGACGAAATGTGGAGCTCCTGAGCGCATAACATGCCTGGAGCTGTAGGGTATATGTTCTTGCCGCTTACAACTTAATGAGAAATGAATTCTTTTCCATGTATAGCTATTAGTAAAGGACGCAAGCTCAGCTCTCTTTTTAATATTCTAATTTCAGTGCTTGAAGATCCACACTTCCCTGAACAGTACTCCAAATGGAAGGAAATGGATCTGCCATATCCCGAAGAGTGGAAGTTCAAGTAAGAAATTTCCAGCGTCTTGAGTGTATTTGCCTATTAATGTGAAATGTCTATTTTCTACCTTCCACTGTTACACTGAGCCATCAGAAGAAACCCTTGGGAATGACAATTTATGCCTTTTCTAAGCATAAGAACAGTCATAGGAAAGCGTTTTTTCTTTCCCATGAACCCGGAGAGGGGGTATCTCTGCTACCTCCCGGCTCCGTGAGGACGTGACCAACCGTGCAGAAATCTCAGAACACCCTACGCTAGTTCCCCCTGCCCGCTCCACCGTTCCTGATCCACCTGTGACTTCTGAACAGCGGCGGAAAGACTGTTCACCCGTTGTCAGCTGGCTTCTCCCAGCTCTCTCCATAGCCCGAATCTATTCGGTCTGAGGAGGAAGTGGCGGCATCTTTAGAGGGAGACGCAGTCCTACCGTAGAGTGTACAGTGGAGGAAGGGACCTCGCTGCCTTCGTTGGCCTCCTTGTGGTGTGAGCGCAGAGGCCCCGGCCTGGGGCCCTGGGTGTGAGGTCTGCGTCTTTTCCTACTCAGGGACTGTGCCGCCAGGGGAACGAAGATCTTTTTTTATTTTTCCGCATTTACTTCATGTATCTCGTTTTTTAAACTCTTTGACTATTGGCACTGTGCCCTCCCTTCCCACGGGAAATGCGGACTGCTCAGAAATAATATGGAGAATTTCCACTGGTGCCGAAGGCCAAGTCCTCACGCTTCCCAGGCCTCCCCACACCACTCTGGGCGCGGCTCCCTCCAGCAGCGGCGTCGCCTCCCCTCCGAGTGGGGGAAAAGCTTTTTGCATTTGGTGCTTTTCTGCTTTCAGGATAAATCACAAGCAGAAGAAAAGTTTTTATTAGGGGGAATTTGAAGGAGTACAGCATTTTTTTCCCATGAAGGCACGTTTCAAGTTTCTTTCAGAGCTGAAGAAACCCTGGTAGAATATGAGGTTAACTTCGCTTTGCCAGGACTTCCCTTCCGATCTCCTTTAACGCCGCTGCGCCCTTCTATTTGTTTGCTCGCCGGCTCATCATGCAGGGCCAGCGTCCCGCGCACCCCAAGACGGAGAAAGCCTGGCCGCGTCACTCCCAGCTTGCTCTAGGCCCTCCGCGGCGGGGACGGTTGTTTTCCAGACACCTCCCTGCCCGCCTGGGGACGCTGAGCCCTGGCAGCACCGCTTCTCGCACAGGCGCGGTTGGTCGGTAAAGCAGAGAGCCGCCGTTATTACCCTCATCTGCCCTTCGCTGCGGCGTGCATTCTACGTTCGCAAGCAGGCAGGCGTGTAATGGAAACTCTGAAGAGCAGCGAGATTCAAGGTATCGGGTAACTGTCGAAAGTGCCGGGTTCAGGCGGCCGAAAGTGCGTCTGGGTCACAGCGCGGCCGAGCGGCCTCCGTCCGGACGTTTCCTGTTAAAAGCAAAATCACAGAAGGCAAATGGAGAAGCTGTCTTTGCCAGGCGGTCAGGAAAAGCACCTTCTCTCCCCGCCGCCAACCACCTCTGCCGTCCACACCCGGTCGGTGCCGTCTCCTGAGGGCGCCCCCGCAGGACCACGGTCACTGGGTCCCCGTCCAGGACGCACAGGATGGGGCTCAGAGAGTCTGAAACCATCCCAGACCTGCTCGGGGCGTCGCGCCCTCTCCTCGCGTGGGCATCTGTGCTGTCCCTTCAGACCCTGCCCTGCGGACATTCCTCCGTCCGTCCGTCCGTCCATCCGTCCGTCCGCCCCCTCGGGGCCAGGGCCGCTAGGGAGGCTTTTCACTGTGTGCCTGGTGAGTCGTGGGCGCTCGGTTAACGTCTGCTGGAAGACGCAGAGTCCGCCTGACTCCGCATAGGAGTAAATATGAAAGTAGTTAATTTTAGGGAAAGTAATATTTAGCAACACACTCCTATCAAACTTCATTCTAATGGAGAGATTATGGTTCTCTTTGGGGATTTCTAAGGTGTAGTCATAAACAAGTATAGAAAAGTGGAAGGAAGCCAATGTTTTGGCAAATACCTGTAATCTCAGTAGCTAGGAGGCTGAGGCAGGAGGATTGCAAGCAAAAGCCCAGGCATGGGCACATTAACATTTTAATAAGTCCCTTTTTCTAAATAAATAAATAAAAGATTGGAGGTGTAGCTCAGTGCAAAGGCCCTGGATTCCATCCCCAGTACTGAAAAGAGAAAGAATGAAAAGAAAATGTTCCCAGCCTCCCTTTTCAAGTGAAAATATAAGTTGCTACCATGAATATTTCATGAAAATTGAATTTTATGGATGTTACTTACTAGTAACAGAAGCACACTGCCATATAACCAACTCATACATATTCATTAATCAACTACTTGGTTTGATGTCCATTTCTAAGACTTTTTTTCATTTCCCATTGCCTCGTCTCTAGAATACTTCTGCAAATGGTTTGTTTCTATTAAGACATGGGAAAGGGGGCCAGGGATTTAGCTCAGTGGTTCTGCCGCCTGCCTTGCAAGTGCAAGGACAAGAGTTGGATCCTAGGTACAAAAAAAAAAAAAAAAAAAAAAAAAATATGAGAAAGACTGTAAATCTAGGTTCTAACCAGTAGTTTTTATTTTCTTTAGAAAAATAGTGAAAGACACAAAGTCAGAATCTTAGCCACATTTTCATGGCTAGGACAAAACACCAAACACTCACAACTGACAGGAAGGGAGGTTCATTCTGGCTTATGGTTTGGAGTGGTTCAGTCCAAGGTTTGCTGTCTTCATGGCAGAAAGGGCACGGCAGAGGGGCTGGCGGAGGAGAGCTGCTCAGGGCACGGTGCACAGGAAGAGGAAAGGGGAGGATCCGGTACGGAGGTGAACCCTTCCAGGCCACGCCCCAGTGACGCCCCTTCCATCAGCCCGCTCCCTGGTGACGCCCCTTTCCACAGGCCCCGCCCCTCGTAACACCCCTTTCCTCCCAGCCCGCCCTGGATTCACTTCACAGAATCTCGGTGGCACACAAACAAGGCTCTTTTCACCTGGTTGCCACCTCCAGGCCTTCCCGCTAGGAAATTTTGTGAAAACATAATGTTATCTCCAGTGTAGCAATGAGATAAACTAAGGCACAAAGAGATGAACCAATTAGCATGCGGTGACTGAAAAGGCAAACCTTGTCTGTATATAAAAACAGGTATTTCCTACTTGCCTACTACTATGTGCTGACTAAAAGCTTTAGATTTTCAGGGCACTGTAAAAAATATCTCCTGCTTCACTGCAGTTCAAATCAAGCCCGTCTTCTGTGGAAATGTTTTTTAAAAATCGTTTTGTCAATACCAGTTTCTATTATTCAACAGTTATTTCCCTTCTCCTCTGGTAGAAACATTAACACTGGTGCTATGCCAAACACCATTATAAAGCTTCCTTATAAATAGAGTGTGGACTCAGTTGTTCTGTATTTTAAATTAAGGTCTTGGTAAACGTTCCTTCTGAGTGGCTTTAGGTCTGATTTTGAGCGTGTGTTTTCAATCACAGACACGCAAGGCGCCTCTCTGCTTGTGTTCTCCTTTTGTTCCCTTTGGCGATGTGCGGACGTTCGTGCTGAGAGCTCATCACTCATGTAATGTATGTTTGTGCTATCCTTTCAGGGTTACTGAATTTAAACCTCGTTTTTTACAGTTGATGTAATTAGATATCGAATGCGCTTTGGAAGGAGTCTGGCGTTTCAGGCCCCAAAGAGTAAACCTTTACTGCCATCTTGTGGTGAAGAGAAAATTAGCATTAGCGTGCATGCTGTACATACTTTAAAAAACAGGAGTGGGGGAAAAGTATTGACAACATTGAGAAAAATCCCTTTAAGAAATAATTTCTGCTGGGCCATTACTTGATCCACACTTAGATTTTTTAGGGACAGGGAGCTCCGTACCAAACCTTCAGACAGCTCCAGATCTCCCCTCTGGCTTAAACTGGATACATGCGTCAGTCAGCCCTTGCAGCTCAAGGCCAGAACGTGAGAAATGGTCTCCATTTTCTAGCAAAGGTGTCCTAAGGCTAAAAGCTAAACATGAAGCCAGGTGTGGTGGCACACCCCTGTGATCCCAGCATTCGGGTGGCAGAGGCCACGTGGGCTACCTGGGGAGTTCGAAGCCTCAATACAAAGCAAAACCCTGATGCAAAACAACAATAACAAAACTAAACATGAGACCCAGGGGTCACCCTTGGTGACAGAGCTGCGGTCTCTCCGAGGAAACTGCACCAGTGCCCATCGTTAATCAAATTGCTGAAACTCAGAGGTAAAGAACAATTTTCAAGTGAAGCTTTTAGAACCCCATAGGTTCTGTACAGAGATGAAGAGAGGACCGTGTCCCATAATGTCCTGCCAGAAACCTCACAGCCCAAACGCGACGAGCACCGGCTTGAGACCTGAGGGGAAATTGCCGGCACCCCAGAAAGGCAAAGTTTTTTCAGGCTATCAAATCCAACCACTAATTCCCTGAAAGACGTCTGCTAAGACTCAATTAAAAGGAAACCGCTCAGGGCAGGGGTAGCTCCGTGTGCTGGGCCTTGCCCAGCATGCGACAGACCCTGGCTTCATCCAGTACCAAAACAATAAAAAGAAGATCACCGATCGTCTGTGCTATCACCGATCGTCTCGTATCTTGTATCTAAAGAAGTCGGATTCATAGCCAAATGCCTTACGGAGAGAGCACCTTCCCCGTATTTCATTGTTTTGAAAATATTTCAATATTTTAATTCATTGAAAAGAAAGTTTGTGTTATTATGTTTTGCTTTTGTAAGAATCTTTTTGGTTTATGTCTTGTACTAAGTAACTACTTTGAAGATGATATGCGATGCAGTAACATATTATTCTTATTGTTGGGTTATAAAATTTGTTTTTTATATTTTTTCACAAGACAAAAAAAAAAAGACAGACAGACAGACAACACCAGGCCCAGACAGCCTCACTGGGGAATTTTTCCACACATTTATGGAAAACATAATTCAAATGCACCCAGAAATCATACAGAAACTAGAACAGAAAGGAACAAGTATTCTCTGCCCCTAGTGTTAAGATAGGAATCACAGACCCAGGCAGTCGTTAAGAAGAAAACTGGAGATCCATATGTTAGCAAATCCAATCTAACTGGAATATAATATTCTAAATATTGATTTGTTAACATTATTTTTAAATGACTTAATCCCTCATGACCAAGTTGGCTTTATATCAGGAAGGCAACCTTGGTTTAACATTGGAAAAATTCAAACAACGTTAGAGAAATAAAGAAGATTCATATGGTTCTCTCGGTGAAGAGAAATTCAGGACCTCTTCCTGGTTAAACAAAACAAAACAGACCTGTCCATAAACTAAGAATATGGAAGAATTTCCTCAACCTGAGGAAACACATCTATGAAAGCTCTACAGCCGGTCTTGGTGGAACATACCTTAATCCCAGCACTGGGGAGGCTGAGGCAAGAACATCTCCATGAGTTTGAAGCCAGCCAGGCTACATAGTGCAACCCCATCTCAAAAGACAAAAAAAAAGAAAAACCCTAGAGCCAATCCCAATCATAGTGGTGAAAAACTGGAAGTGTTTCCCCTAACCTTGGGAACACAGCAAGGACTTCATACTTTGGGCAGCAAGAGCCACTGCCCATGGATCTTGACTTCGTTCGTTTCTGTCTCCTCCCACGGGTTTTCCCCAGTCCACTCTTTGCCTGTCTTTTTCTTCCTGTCTGCTTAGCTCCTGGAACTGTCACTGAGTTTGTGCCACAAGGTATTCTTGTTGCTTTTACTTATTAGTCTTGCACTGTATTTGTTTGCTTTTCTAACTACGACTCTTTTTCCATTTTAAAATGTTTGCTAGTCCACGTTTGCAGTGTATAACCCTTACGCCTGTCCTGGGGAGTTGGTGCATGGCCAGAGCCCATCGCAATCCTTTTTAGCCCTGCCCCTCCGCATCCTCTCCTTCCACCTCATGATTCCCTTCCCGCTTGTAGATCTTCTGTTGTTTTAAAGCACATGCTGAGATGACTTCACTTTACTATTAGTCGGCACTCACACTGACATTGTGGTCAGAGCCTATTGTCTGTCCAGTTTTATTAGTTCATTTGGTTTCTTTTCTTCAAAGAGAGCGTGCCCTTCCCAAAATTCACATGGGACTAAGGATAAGTTTCTTTTCTCTTTGCAGATTTGCCATCGCCAGGTCTCGGTTTGCCCGAGAGAGCAGAGTACCAAGCAGTGTCAGCCTTTCAGGGGAGATGAACCACCTCTGCCCTACTCCAGGTAAATTGGATCCGGCTTATTTGCTTTTTTAAAACTAAAAGAATCATTCGTAATAACAAATTTAAATATTTGTTCAGCTCAGTCAAGTTTGGATATGTAAGGCCTGTTGCAGCTTGTGTCTAGGTATCCCCCAAAGCCTCACACACTGCTAGGTGGAGTTTTCAGAGGTGGCTAGATTGAGGTGTGTGAATGTGGATTAAGGGTGTGTGATAAGTGGATTAGGCAACTTATTGGTTTAGCACTGTTCTGGGCGTGGATAATGGGAAAGCCCACCCTGGATGTGGGTGGACCAACTAATAGGCTTGTAGCTCGGATGGGATAAAGGAAAAGGGAGGCTGCTGCTTCCTACCTCCTGCCTGCACTGCCTGCACTGCCATGGACTGTTTCTCCTCTTTGATGCCTCCCTGCTGGGAGCCAGCCAACTACGGACTGAACTGTGAGTGAAATAAACCTTTCCTCCTTTAACTTTGGGTGCCAGGTATTTTGTCTCAGTGATGAGAGAAGGAACTAAGGCCCAAGTTTTGTGTTCTCCTTTCAAATTTGCTTCAATTGTTTCTTTAAAAAATAAATTCAATAAATAATTTACACAGGAATGGAAGCTTTAAAAGATTGAATTACTTCTATTACAAGCTTACTACCCTTAATGGGCTAATACACGATTTGAGAATTCAAGCCTGAGTCCCCAAATATTAAAAAGCAGCCAAAACATTGTAGATTCAGAAGTACGGGTAACATAGTTGGACAGAAAGGATCAGTGTTAGTTGTGTTTCTGTGCTTGTAAAAATTAATGTTTCTCAAAGCGGTGTGAGTTCTGGGGTAGGTGGAAAGGCCAGCTGTGGATGGAGAGAGAGGGCCAGTGACAGAAGGGTGACATGTGGGGTCTGAGAGGCTGGTTGGGGATGCAGCACTGTGTGATGCTGGAAGGCACCACCTGAGCTCCGGGTCCCTGGTTCCTGAATGACATCCTGCACCGTCCCCCAGTGCCTTGTGATTAGGTTGCCCGCACGTAACAGACCTTTGTACCCTGGAAAATGCCTGACTTCGAGTTTGGCCCTGTACTTGTTTCCATCTGGGGAGTATTTGCAGTGTGTGAGCCCAGGGCTTGGAAGGTCTGCAGGACTTGGCTTGCTCTTTTGCACACCTGCCATGGCCAAAACAAGCCAGAGCCACCCCTCTGACCATAGTGGGGGACAGAAGGAAGGAGCAAGCTGCCACATAAGCTAACCCAGCAGCAGGCTCGGGACCAAGGCAAGCACTTCCTGCAGGTCGCAAAGCCTTTGTGCTTGATGCTGTCTAGCAATAGTGAGTGTGAGCAGGATATCGAAGGACAGTGTGATGGGTAAAACTGACCACTTTGGCAGAAAGCGTGAACGGGTTGTACTTCACTTTGAGAAAAGCACACCTGACATTTGGAAGGAAGAGGGAGGAAGAGGTTTTGGGAACTGTGCATGGCTGGTGTGGCTTCTCGGACACAGTCCTTTCCCTGTCTCTTCACAAAGTCCCTCATCACAGACACGGTAGCGCCACCAAAGTCTCCATGAACTCAGCCTTCCTGTCACTCTGTGTATGCGGTGGCCTGGACTTCCTGGTCTCCTGCTTTCCCAAGATGCCTGGCACTATGCGGCTGTGATGTTCTTCCCAATTATTCACCTGTGCCTTCCAGATCTTCCCTGCCCACTTCTCCAACACCTGGACCCCCCCAGTTCCTCTGCTGAACCCCATCTTGGATTATTTTTGCTGGCTCTTTTTGAGTGAGTAGAAATAAACCACTGGGCAATAATGCTTGTCATTATGTTACCGATCAGCACATATTTAGTATCTTTGCTAATTAAACTGTTTCAAGATTTAAAAAATGAATGATCAGATATGGACTTTCCACGATTCGTATCAAGAGGGGAACAAATACATGGCAACAAGAATGTTCCTTCATCATTCGTTTCACTGACATATGACAAGTCCCCACCGTTATCCCAATAAGCACAACACTGGGTTTCAAAAACCCATCCCTTATATTTCTACTCTAATTTTGTACTTTAGCATAATAATAGCTGCTTGTGCTTCTCAGTACCTTTCCCTGAGGGATAGAGGAATCCATCTTTGTGTTTAGCCACGTGGTAGGATGTGTGTGCTCCTGTGTGAGCACCTCTGCAAAAGAATCAAACCAGGATGTCCACTCTCATTCTGCCCCACCGAACAGGTTTTGCACGTTTACCTGAGCATCATAAAATACAGCCACCCCACTCTAGGATTTGTTTTTTAAAAAGTTTTCTTTGATTTTCCTGGTAGAAGTACCCCAATTCAATAAAATGGCACGTGAAAAATCAGATTTACAAGTTTTGGAGGTCAGAAGTGAATTATCAGATTACTCATGTATGGATGATGATGATCCATTATGGTAAAATAAATGTTTGCATAAGAGAAATACATGCTTTTTGGAACAGAAGTGGTGGGGATGATGAGGAGGAGGAGGAAGAGGAGGAGGATGATGATGATGATGATGATGATGACTTTGACGTTGTGAACCAAAGTTCCTGTGACCATGAAATGGAAAAACATTTGGCTAATACAGACACAGGGAATGCAGACCTCCTTGATTCAGATGATGAAGAAAACAGCAATGTGAGTGCATATTTGACTAGTCAAAATGTTGCTAAATGGTCACACAACTAAATGGAATGATCCAATGTAAGAACTAGGTCTGAAAATATAGTGAGGACCTTGACAGTGGGGAACACGCATCAGACAGGGAGTAGGTGCCAAACATATAGTGTGGTACACTTCAAAATATAGTATAAAAATTTATGCCCTTGTAGATACAAAGACTTATTGTGCTTCAATTTAGAAGTGTATCCTGGAACTCAGCCTCCAGGTCCTTATTTGTATAGTAATAAACCAAATGATGTTATGAACAGACTTGTTGCTCCCATCTCCCAAATTAATCAGAATGTGACATTTGACTATTGGTTTACCAGTTTCTGATTGATATACATTTGCTAACAGAGCTCAGGTTGACCAGTGTAGGAACTGTACCCAGGAACAAAGCAGAAGTTCCTAGTAAAAGGTTGCAAATTGAAAACAGAACTGTATAGTACAATCTTTGGATTTCAAAACGATAAAACATTGGCCTCATATATGGCAAAGAAATACAAACTGGGACTGCTGATGTCAACATTGCAACATTATGGAAAAACTGACAGAAAAACGGTTACAATTGAATGGGCCAAAATGGTGCATTGTCTCTCTTTACTGATGTCAGCAATCTGTGTGACTTCCTAAATCTAAGCCTGAATAATCATTAGGGTGGTGGTGTGTTTAAGATTGAATGAAAAGAAGGGAAGCTGCTTTAGGGTTAGGGAAACATGAATAGTCATTAGAGTGATGTTGTGCTTTTGATTGGATGGAGAGAAAGGAGGTAGCTCACACAACTTCCCTGTTTTAGGGCTATGGAAGCAAGGATAATCACCAGGGTGGTGTGGAATTTACATTAGAAGGGAAGGGAGGGACTCAGCTCTTTCGCTTCTAACTTCACTAAAAGCTCAACAAAACTGAAGCCTGAGATGGTAACTTTTTATAACAAAACCAAAGACCCAGTTGATGTTGATGAGTTATCTAGCAACTATGGTGTTAATCAAAACATAAAGCATTGGCTAATTGTTGTGTTTTACTCCGTCCTAAATATGTGTGGCATGAATAATTTGATAGTTTACAAAGAAGTGCAAAATACCACGGAGAAATTTTCGTAGAGGATTGGGACTGGAACTCATAAGAGATCACTTACAGCAGAGGAAAAACAAAATGTTTTTGCCCAGGGAACTATGCAAAAAAAAAAAACGTGGAGCACAGTGGTGAGCTGACAGGTAAACAGGCAGGCACAGCATCACAAAGACCTACTACAACAGGAAAACCAGAAAGATGTCAACTGTGTCTTACAAGAAAGGGCAGAATAACAAAACATACATGCTATCATGTAAGTGATACTTGTTTAGGGAACATGCAATTTTAATGTGTAAAGACTATGTTGGCTGTGACAATTGAGGCAAAGATTATTTTTGTTGTAGAGTTCTGTTGGCATCTTTATTGTAATTCACATAAGTTTTATTCACATAAGTTTATCTTCTAGGTTTTGTAAGCAAGTAGAGAGCTGATGTGAAAATGTTGATGTTTATTCTAAACACACAATACATATTAAGCATTTAATATTTTATTTTATTGATATTTTATGTTCCTGTTAAGTACACATTGTATAATAAATAAGAACCTCCTGACAAAACGGCAAGACCAAGAAGATGTCAAGTACGTCTTACAAAGAAGCCAGGGAAGCAACACATATGTGCTGTCAGTGTAAGCAATATGTGTGTATAGAATGTGCTGTTGTCACATGCGAAGACTGCCTTAGGTGTGATAATTGAAGTAAAGATTTTTTTTTCAGATTGCCATTAGTGTTTTCATTGTAGTTCACACAGGTTTTTATTTCTGATGTTCATTTTTAGACTTTGTATACCAAAAACCAGTTGAAAATTTTGATGCTTCTTTATAAACACTCAATAAATATTTTAAAATGCAATTTTATTTTTGTGATTTTTTCCTTTTAAGCATTCATTGTTTAATATGATAAAACTGATAAAATTAATAATTTATCAATAGAAATATTCTAAAGAATAAATATGGTTTGACATACCCATGTTATGCACCTTCATGATAAAAAATGTGTTAAACCCCCGGGTTATTATTGCACTTGTGAAGCATCCGTTCCCTTATACATCAGTGGGACTCCAGAAATACTATGCATGAACTAACAAAGGATAAAAAGCTGGAGCAAGAAGAAAGGATAATTTGTGAATTGAAAAGTTTAAAAAGGTTGCTTGCCTTCAATTATGTAATGTCTTAGTTACTTTTTTGTTGCTGAGACAAAATACCCAACACCCACACGTTAAAGTTAGAAGATTTATTTTAGCTCACAGTTTGTAGAGATTTCAGTCCACAGTCAGCTGGCTCCAAGGCAGGACAGCATGGCCAAGGGGCCTCACAGAGGAGGAACAGTCTGTGGCAGGGTAGACAGGAAACAGCAAGCCTCCCTTTCCCTTTTATTCCATCCAGGCTACAAGCCTATTGGCGGGTGCCACTCACACCCAGAGTGGGGCTTCCATTATCCACACCCAGAGCTATGCTAAACCAATCAGTGGACTGATTTAGACGAGATTGGGTGCACTCAGGGTGGTATGAATGTAGACGTAAGTGAACTTAATTTAGTAAGCACACACCATTAATCCATATTCACACACCCTAAATCTAGCCACCTCCAAAAAGCCCCCTGTATGACAGCATAAGGTTTTGGGGGGACATCTAGATACAAGCCACAACACATGAATTTCAGAGGCGGGTGCCTCACACCCAGAGTGGGGCTTCCATTATCCACACCCAGAGCTATGCTAAACCAATCAGTGGACTGATTTAGACGAGATTGGGTGCACTCAGGGTGGTATGAATGTAGACGTAAGTGAACTTAATTTAGTAAGCACACACCATTAATCCATATTCACACACCCTAAATCTAGCCACCTCCAAAAAGCCCCCTGTATGACAGCATAAGGTTTTGGGGGGACATCTAGATACAAGCCACAACACATGAATTTCAGCGTCATTCTACAAATGCAGGACAGCTTTTTCATTGTGCATTACACTTCTGTTTTTCCTATTTCTCACAGAAGAACACCCTACTGAGTCACAACCAGAACTAGATCATGTCACAGAGACCCATGAAACAGAGGACGTGTGAAAGGATGAGGATTCGCCCTATGACTATTACACGTATGATCTGGGGGAAGAAGAAGTGGATGAGCTGATCGCCTGGACCATGCTCTCAATGCAGATGCTTTAGACGACTAGACCTGCGCTCCCTCTCCACAACTCAACAAACAGGCAGCCTCCACCATGGTTGGATTCTGCTTTTCACAAGTTGGTCTCATCCTCTTTCTGTAAGTGCAGAGGAGGAAAATACAAGTGAGCATAAAGTGGTGAATATGTTACTGTGAATGGTTTGAGTCCTACTTCTGTGCCTGGAACAGAGTTAGCCAAGTTAGATGCACTCGTTGTTGTAAAGTAGATGTTCTCAGGCACAGAGCTACTGCTGTTAGGCAACCAAGTCTAAGATTTTCAGGGAGGAAGTAAGTCAGAAAGGTGTTGGGCCAGGAGGGGACCTCTGGAGACTGGACAGAACCCAAACAGTGGGATCTATTCATTCATCTACACCCATCCTGTTTCTTGTTTCCTCTGTATTCAAAGGAGGAGATGCCCTACTGTATACTGATGTCCTTCTGCTGTCTTCCTGAGCTCATGCTGTTTTCTCTTTGACCATGACCAACCAACCTCTCATACTCTTGTATCTTTATTTTCTCCCTCTTTCTGCTGTGTTGCCTCAATTGGTAGTTTTGCTTGTGTCTCTCCTGTTCTAAAATGAGCCTGCTACAAAACACATGTGGGACCTTGCTTCAGGGATAATGGGAATAAAAATAGGCAGCAGTATGAATTTGCAAGTGAAAGCTTTGAGAAGGAAGGAAAATGAGAAAGAACGTTAGCTGGAGCCAAAGAAAAGCAGAAGGGGACTGATGGAGAAGCTCAGACTAGTCCAGGAGACAAAGGAAAGAAAGAAACAAGCTGTTATGGGCTACGGTGCAGGCTAGGATCTGATAACCTCCCAGTGGTTCATAAGTATGGAATTTTTGGAGCTTTCCATGTGGGGAGTATTCCTTCCTTGTGTGGCATGTCTCAGTGGTCGTTCTCATTGGGACATCATGGTGCGCCATTCCTCACCTATTACGACACCCCTTGTCCCTGCAGGAAGAGAGGGTGAAGGGGGTGGTACCTCCTGTGCACTGTTGGAAGAGGCCTGGGGAAAAGACATCTCTACCTCTTGGATGAAGGCCTGAGACTCCCTCATGCTCTTGTCTTCATGTGGGGGCTCTAGGCTAAGGCCATATTATTATTACTCTTCTTAAAAATGTTTTCATTTCAGTGTAACACAATTACGTATAAGGAAATTATAAAAACATTCCTTCTATGAAGAATTAAAATTTTGTAACAAAATAATTAGAGAATGACAGTGGTTAATGTACTGTATATCATAATCTTAGAATGGTCAAAATGGTACTGAGTACAGGCCATAGACAAAAGAAGACTGACAAAGAAGAAATAAATAAAAGGACACATTTTTTCTTTTCAATGAACAAAAGAAGCTAAATGAAACAAATTAGGATTTATCTAACGGTTTCTCTTGTATGAGAGTCTATATAAAGAGAGGGAAATAGAAGATAGATAAATCAGAAGTAGGAAGAAGCCCAAATAACCCCAAATTATCTGTTCTCTTGTTTCAAAAGTACTTTAGGATCCCTTTCTTTGTATACAGACGTTTATCACAATACCGTCAGGGAGACATCCCTGGAGGCCTAGTTCCCTACACACATGTGTCTCCTGGCAACTGCCACACTTGCCTATAAGCCCGGCTTTGGATCTACTTTATAGGCCGGTCTCTCCCTTATTTCCAGGGAAGTCACTTTAGCTCCCATAAAAAAGAAAACATGCATTTCTGTCTCCTTTACTTCCACGGCTAACTGGTTGTGTCCACAGCTGCCCAGACAACAGGGTCCCACCTGATGGCGGTGCCTCACACTTCTGCTGTCCACCTGCCTTTTTCCCACCACCCAGCCACAAAATCCCAGCAGCCACCCCGGATTTCCGCCTCCTTTGTCTCCAGGAAAGCCTAGGCAAGGGCTAGCTCAGCGCCCCCGACACACAGAGAGCTAGTAGAGATGCCTTGTCTCAGGCCGCAGAAAAGCAGAGGGCACGGCAGAAGGTGCTTCTTCCTGATGGTGGTGGGCACAGAGCTGCAAGTCCACTGGAGCCCCACTCACCCCTCCGGGTGAAAGCCACCGCGGATGCCTGCCGGGACCACCTGCCGACAGCTGCCTCCATTTCTGCTCCTCAAACCAAAGCCCAGGTTTTGCCATCTTAGAATCTGCCATTAAAAATAAACCCAAACAGCTGGGATGTGTCTCCGTGGTACAGTTCCCGACGACTTGTGCAAGGCCCTTCATTCGCCCCATCCCCATCCACTGCCAAAAATTTTTTTAAACTTGAAAATTTAGCAAATCAATGACTTCACAAGCAGAAATAGACTCTGATAGGTTTCTCAGTTTCATGGAAGCATGATTGGAATCAGAAATTCTAGCCTCAGAATGACTTGGGAAGAATTCACTTCTCTGAAATTTCTGGAAGAGTTTTTGTAGAATTGGAATTATGTGCTTCTTATGTGTTTGGTAAAATTCAACTGTGTAACCAGGTGAAGCTGGAGGGTTTTTGTTTTGTTTTGTTTTTTTGGTTGTTGTTTAATAGAATGGCATTTAATTGCAATTTAAATTTTAAAAATGGATATATGACTAATTAGGTGATCTGTTTCCTCTTTATTTTTTGGCTTTTTTTTTGTACCAGAAATCGAACTCAGGACCTTGCATTTCAAGGCAGGCATAGTGCCACTGAGCTAAATCCCCGGCCCTTTTTGGGCTTTTTTGAGACAAGGTCTCACTATATAGTTGAGGCTGGCCCAAAACTCACTATGTAGCCCAGGCTGGCCTCAAACTCCTGGCAATCTTCCTGCCTCAGCCTCCCTAGTGCTGGGATTACAGGTGTGAACCACCATGCCCTGCCTTGTTTCCTCATAATGACCTCTGGTTAGTTCCATCTTTCAAGTTATTTATCTATGGCATTTTAAGGACCAAAACTTTGGTACACAGTTGTTGATAATATCCCCTTATTAGCCTTTTACTCCTTGTTACATCTTCAGTAATGTCCCTTATGTCTTCTCTTTTCCCCTGATTAGTGTGGCTAGAAGTTTGTTAATTTTACTGCTCTTGTCGCATAACTGATTTTGGGTTTACTTATTTTCTCCATTTTTTCCTATTTTCTTGATTTCTGCCATAATCGTTAATTTCCTTGCTTCTGCTTAGTTTGGATTTAATTTACTCTTTTCCTCGCTAATTAAGTTGAGCACTGGAGTTATTGATTTGACACTTTTCTTCTTTTCTAATACGGGAATTCACTCGTATGTGATGAATATCCTTAATCTGAAGTGAGAAATTAACAGATTTTTGAGTTCCAAGATGACGTTCAAAATTCTTGGATTTTGGAGTATTTCAGATTTTGTGTTTTCTGATTAGGAATGCTCAGCTGGTAAAATCAGAATCAGAAAGGCCCCAGAACCCAAAACACTTCTGGTCTCCAGCCCTTGGGATATGGGATGCCAACCTGAATAAACCCCCAACACTGCTCTACCAGTGTCCCAAACGGAAGACACTTGGGTTAGTAGGCCCAGTTGGAACCAGCGGACTGCAGTTGGTCTGGGTGTCTGGCCCGTGGCTGCTTGGCCTCGCCTTCCCTGCAGGGGGAGCCACGCGCGGCCCAACAGCTCCTGGCTCTGCAGCTTTCACACCAAGGGACGTTTGGAGAAGTGAGCCCGCTGGCTCTGCCCCTCAGGAGACATCCAACAGGGAAAGGACCGGAGAACGATGCACTTCGATAAAGCCACGGCACAGACCTAGGGGAGCCTGCAAGTCCATGCTGCCACGGGCGGACCATGCAGAAGCCACCTACGGGTAGACAGGAAGGAACGTGGTGTGCGAGTGACTGCCAGACGCCAGGCCTCGCCCGGCCTCCTACCCGAGGCAGGGCAACAGCCAGAGAGCGAGGGGTCCCGCGCACCGCCCGGGGTGACCCCAAGAGCGAGGCCGAGGAGTGGAGTGGGGCGGGT